TGTGATCACCTTTTGTGACCTTCTGACAAACAAAGCCAATGGGGAAGCCAGATTCACTTAACAACCGTGTTACTAACTTAACAACTGCAGTGATAGGCTTAACAGCTGTGGCAAGAAAGGTCGTAAAATGGGACAAAATTTCACAACTGTTCTTGCTTAGCAACAGAGATTTTGGGGTCAACTGTGGTCGTAAGTCAAGCACTACCTGTACTGTTCAGTGAATGTCAGTCTTATACAAAAGGAGGAGCTTATCAGAGTTTCCTATGTTTTTAACACCTTACCCGTTCATAGGCCCAGAACTTGATGGCTGTTTCGGGTGCAATTTTGACAACATTCACACCATTTCCCCTCCAAAGGGAACGGACTCCTCCTTCTTTCACCATTTGCTTCAGGCCACCAGCTATGTTCATTTTCCCCTTTGAGCCGTGAACCTACAAGGAAAAGGAAACATAATTAACTGACATATAGAGAAAACATGCTGAATCATAATCATCTCTTTTATCCTTTAGAGAGAGAAGCATAAAGTAAGCAGATCTTTCAAGAAAGGAATTGGAACCATTCCAGATTATGCACTAGGTATAGTGCCTGGTTTCATGACATCTGACACACACGACTGAAGATTCAGATTTTGCGTTTCTTTTGTGACAAACGACAAAACCTGTTTGTCAAGGCTCCCACCTAGCCATTAAAAATGCAGAAGTGTGGTGTTATTCCCCTTCCTTCTGTAGGCTAAATGGGAAAAGAAAAAAAGCAACATCTGAGCTGATATCTAACCCTCTTATTTTTATTCAACTCTCTCTCTTCCGATACCGATTTCCTTGCTGAGCGTAAATGTGGCAGCTCCAAGTGCTTCAGCGTGAAGCCTCTGTACAGATAGTCCTCGACTTACGACCACAATGGAGCCCCAAAATTTCTGTTGCTAAGTGAGACATTGTTAAGTGATTTTTGCCTCATTTTATGACCTTACTTGTGGCACAGCAATTAAGTTAGCAACACGGTTGTTAAGTGAATCTAGCTTCCCCATGATCACATGACTCTGGGACACTACAACGGTCATAAATGTGAATTAGTTGCCAAGAGTCTGAATTTTGATCACGCAACCATGGGGATGCTGCAGTGGTCGTAAGTATGAAATACGATTCATATGTCACTTTTTCAGTGCGGTTGTAACTTCGAACGGTCTCCAAAGGAACTGGTGTAAGTCGAGGACTATCTGTATCACATAGAGGTGGAAGGGAAGAGTGCAGACTATAGATACCTTCTTCCACTTTCCCCAACATGTCTTAATTCTCTACAGCAGGGGTCCCCAAATCCCGGTCCGTGGATCAGTACCGCATGCCAGCAACTTGTCTGCACCAACAAGCGAAGTTCCATTTGCAAGATGTAGGCAGCACACAAAACCACGCACTCTCTGGTCCGTGGAAAAACCTTTCACCACGGAACCGGAATAATTGCCTCAAAGAGAATCTTCTCTTTGAGGCAATTATTCTGGCAGCCAAAAGTCAATACCCAAGGGAGGTTTGTTTACTGGAGAGAACTACCACCTCAGTTTTCCATGTTTGGTCTTCTTTGACTATGAACCTTTTTAATCTACCACTCCTTCTGCCATCTGGCCATTGGCTGCCGAAATTAAAGTGGGCTGAAAGAAAATCTATTAAGAATGTTTAGGTGAACTATCGAATATTAGTGAGGGTTTCTGACTAACAATAGCAGCATCAAGATAATTTTCCTCCCCCCACCACTATCTGAAATATTATTGTTGAAATTAAGAAACCTCGAGTGAGCAAATGGAATGGACTTTTGTGCAATAGTTCTGGGAGCCGCGTTCAGTCCTGACGCTAAAAACAATGCTGTAGGTTCTGATTCCCTGATTCCGAGTATGTCAGACAAATCTCGGGATTTTGATAATAAGCAAAGTAGATCAATTCTAAGTCCATCCATCTGTGAAGCAAACTATTTCTGATAAAATATGACAAACCGCTCTTCTGACTGCCTGCATCCAAACTTTTTAAGATGTCTAAAGAAGCTTCTTGGACCTCAGATGGTTTGTTTTAAGAGGCCCACCTGCATCATAACTTTGAGACGATCAAGGGGTGCTGTGCCTGTTCGAGACACGGCCCCAGCAACTCCACCTGACAAAAGCTGCTTCCACCACTGGCCAGTCTTCTTCTCTTCTTCAGTGAATTCATCAGGAATAGTTAAACTATCTCCAATATCTAATACCTGTTAAAGTGACAAAGAGAGAATGAGAAAGAGCAAGGAAGAGAATGAATGACTTAAATTCCATCTGCCTTTATTTCAACAAAGACATTGATGGCGATAAAACACAATTACATTCAGCTAAAAATTGAAAAGAAGCACACACAATACGTTCTACAATCCATCTTTTTGACAATTCTACCATTGTAAATACAATTAATTTAAAAATGTTGAATTGAGTACGGCTGTAATAAAGACATCATCTAAAAAGCATTTAACATCCCTGGGCAAATCTTACTGTATCATTACAAAGAATGTCTTTGCAGCTATTTTTTAAGAAAGACTAAGATTAACCTTGGAAAAGTATTATTAAGCCAATGATCTATTACTTTATCCTAGCTTTTTTTAAAAAAAAAATCTTCAATCAATATTATGTATTCTTCATATATAATTTCAAGTTACCAAAGCAAGAAGTACCATAAGGGATATTTAGATGACTCTTTAATATATCTTCAAACAAGAAAACTTCAGGGTTAGAGGGCATTTTTTTTACCCAAACTGAACCCTGGCAAATTTATATGTTAAAATGTGAATCCACATTCTCTTATTTATTTATTTATTTATTTTGAATTATATGACCAACTATCTTATATACCATAGTTCTGGGCAGCTCACAAGGAAACAATAAAACAAAATAACTATAAAATCAACATCATACCAGCCCCCAGTACCCAAAAACAGAATTTCCCAGCAAGAGATAGAAATAAGACACTGGACAAAATGGGAGGTAGGTGGCCTATAGGGAAATGTGGAAGGTGGACAGAAGACAGGGAGCAATATTTTCTGGATTTCTCCTAACTATTGTTACTGATATTAGGATTGACAGATAAATCCTTAATTTAGCAGACATTTAGATTTAACAGGCAGACCTTCTCCCATGGGTCCATGAAGACATGGAGCTTGCTTTTTATTTTATTTTATTTTATATTATTTTATTATTTTATTATTTTTATTTTATTTTATTATCTTATTATTTTATTTTATTTTATTTTATTTATTATTTTATTTTATTTTATTTTATTTTATTTTATTTTATTTTATTATTTTATTTTATTTTATTTTATTTTATTTTATT